CTGTTTCCCTTCTGTCATTTTAATATTTACTTGTTCTGTTTACCTATCAGTTTACTTTCAAATACAATGATAACTTATGAGATGGGATAGTTTATTTATGCAGTTTCATTCATAGGGAGTAACAATCTGTCTATTTCATAATGTGATTGTATTTTGTTTTGAGATATGTTGTGTTTAACGTTTTCATAGATATTTTTATTGTTGTGTTTTCCAATTTTTAATTTTGATTATCATAAAATTCCACCTAGAAGAAACAATCCCGTGTTTACGATCCTGCAACGTATTAACAACACAAAGATGGTATGATAGTAAATCGTGAGAAGTTACCTATGCTGGTTTTTGAAATTCAAAGAAATGTTATGCAACTGTGTGATTATTTTTTTAAATATTGCACGGACAGATGCTGTCACAACAGACTTTTTTGATTTAGGAGATCTTAGCGTACAGTACAAAACAGATTTAAATTGCCAATACAATGAAATGAGTCAGTCTCAGTCTCCGGAATAAAATCCAGTAGTAACGAAGCTAAATATTTGTAAAATAATATCATGGGATGAAGCTTCTATGTCCATTAAGTATACTTTATCGTCTGTAGAATGATTACTGCGAGATATTGCCAGAAGAGAAGGCCAAGCAAAACCTTTTTGTGGAAAGGTTTTTGGAGGTAGTCTAATTTCCGGCAATGAGCTACCATAGAGATAGACCCTAAAGAGATAAGTTGTATTTTTTTTAATGACTTTTTTAATAGCTATGTTAATTCATCAATTATTCCTCAGCTAGCTCAAAATGATAGTTTGCATGGGGGTGAGGCTTGTCCAAGCTTTCAGTGTCCTCCAACGGCTAAATTTAAATTGAATGCTGTATGTGATAATGATATATTAAGTATTCTAAACTCTTTCGATAATAAACTATCAACCGGTTACGATGAAATACCTACATGACAGTATTAAAATATGCTGGCAAACAATTGGTCTAACCACTTGTTCATATAATAAATTCCTCTTTCTTGAGTGGAATTTTCCCTGAAAAATTAAAAGTTGCCAAAGTTAGTCCTCTCTGTAAAAATGGAGATCCAAAAAATATAACAAACTATCGACCATTATCTTTACTGTCATCATTTTCTAAATTATATGAAAAAGTTGTTGTTTATAACCAATTAGTAACTTATCTAGAAGAAAACCATTTGCATGATGATGAACAACATGCATTCAGATCAGGTAGATCTGTTATAACTGCAGCAGTAGATTTTATCGATTCAATAATAAACTCAGTGGATAAAGAGGATAAAACAGTGGGCATATTTTTGGACCTGACTAAAAGGCTTTTGACAGTGTCTCACACCAGCTTCTTTTGGGGAAGATCCGAGATTTGGATGCCGACAGCAGGTCATTGAAGTGGTTTCGATCCTATTTAACTCGGAGATCTCAATATGTTGAAATAAAGCAATTAAAAAATAACGTTTTTTCAACCTCCTACTCAAAGTTATCTACTATTCAACATGGGGTCCCACAGGGTTCGATTTTGGGACCTGTTTTATTTCTTTGTTACATCAAAGGAATGCCCGGGTCATTTCAAAACAATATTTCTAATAAAATAAGTTTGTATGCAGACGATGCAAGTTTAAAAGTAAGCAGTACATCTGTTTCCGGTTTGGAATTTAACTCTTTGAATTTTCTAAAAACAATAGATGCTTTCTTAAACTATCATCAATTACTTAAATTCCAGTAAAACCAACTTTATAGTATTTTCAACAGGTAAACAAAAAAGTCCAATTGATGCAGTGATTAATTTTAAAAATTCTACTCTTATCAAGTTACTACAACTAAATTTTTGGGCTTAGTAGTTGATCAAAATCTTTCATGGAACTCCCATGTTGACCATAATGTCAGCAAAATCACATCTGGAATTTATGCAATTTATAGAATGTCTAAATTTTGTTCAGCAGATATTTTGAAAAAGCTTTATTTTGCTTTCATTGAATCCGCAATATCATTTGGCGTAAGTGTTTATGGTGGAAAATCAGAGAATATTTAGATAGAATTTTAATTTTGCAGAAAAGAGCAATAAGACTAATGTTAAATTTAAACTGGGATGTTTCCGTACGTGATCATTTCTTAGCCATGGGTATGATGACTGTGTTTATAATTATGTTTTCCATACCGTTCTTTTAACTAAAAATCTTCTGTCTGAAAGTATGTTACCTAAACTAGGGGATAACTATGAATATGGCACCCGGCATAGAAACAAAATTGCTGTTGGTACCCATAGATTGGAATTTTATAACAAAAAACTGTCATGTGCTAGAAGAAAATTTTTGGAAGGGCTTCCAGAGTGGTTGAGGAAAATTGAGGATTGTAAAAAATTTAAAACCCAGCTTAAAATATACTTAACACAAAAAGTACTGTATAATTTTGATGAACTGTACAGCTGATATTATGCTGTAAGTTTAAGTAGCTTAAGAATTTTGACGCCATTCAATGTACATACTTGTATGATTTATGAATAAAGTTATTTTAAATTCAATTCAATTCAATTCAATAGTCTCTGGTGCGAGTCACTGTGCAATGGTAGAAAATTCAATAATTATCACTTTTATGGCCAATGTTTACAAATATCTCACTTGCTAAAAACATAAGAGCAAATCCAAGTGAATCAATATTTGCTGAATATCTTTTACAAATAGGGAATGGCCAAGAGAGCTACCATAATGGTCTTTGTGAACATTGATAAGTCTTCCATCACAATGTATTGTGAATAAAGATATCATTGAAGGATTCTCTGAAGATGCTTAAAAAAGACAAAAATTATGCAATAATTTCACCAAAGAATGAACATGGTGACCAAATTAATAATAAAATAGCTAAGCAACTAAATAATTGCAGTAGAGTTTACCGCCCAGTGGACACTTTGATTAAAGAAGAGGGAGACCGGTTAAATGTCCCTGATGCCACACTTAAGCACCAAATGGTTGTCTCACAAGTTATGCTTTAAAAAGGGTGGAATTTTAATTTTACTAAGAAATTTAAATCCATAAAAAGAACTGGTTAATGGAACCAGATTTATGGTGAAAGAGATGAATGACAAAGTCATAAATCTGGAAATAATTACTGGAAGTTCAGCTGGAAAACGAGTATTATTATTCCAATTAAGTTTAGAATCGTCAGAAGGAAATTTTCTCCTGAAGTTCAAACGTCTGCAGTTCCAATGCCGATTTGCTTTTGCCATGACCATCACAAAAATTCAAGGACAGACACTTGAAAAAGTTGGTCTTATCTGCCATAGCCCTACTTTCAGCATGGGCCACTGTACGTACCGTGCTTTTGATTAACTATAAATAATGGTGAAAGAACAACGAAACCAAGGTCTTCTGGTTAAAGACGTTATTAGAGTGTTTGCGAAAACACATCGTATGGAAAGAGATTACCTTTAACTGATTTACCTTTATCATGTCAAATGTTATGTTAACTATTCTGTCAGGCAGTATTGAGTACTCTGTTAACACGTTGGGTGCTGATGACGGGAATTCCCGCAATTGCTTAACATTGAAATAAATGCAACTTTTATGTTCAAACATGTCGACAGCACGAATAGTGTTAAAACGTTTATTAAAACAGTATTGAGTATTGACTTTTGATTTATTATGTAGTGCCAAGGTAAAATTGTATTTAAATTATTAACATAAAATTGAAATGTAGTTAATATTATTAACTGGAAACAACTAGTTAAAAAAAAAAACTTTATTGCCTCTCCTATGGAAAAAAACCTAAGTAGGTACTCCTCAAACTTAGGCCTAGTGTTATTTAAATAGGGACTAAATCTGACAATTTCAAGGAAATATTTGTAGTCAAAATTAAACAAGGCAATTGGAAATTCGCTGAATCTGCAGGTTCGCTGGGGCGAGGTATTTTATTTTTGAAATCTTCCTCTGTATACTCATGCTAATTGGCATTTGTACTTAAATTTAACTACTCTATTAAGATTTTTTTTTAATTTCTTCATTATCATTGTGCTTTTTCATTACTAGGAAGTGAAGAAAAATTTCAAATAACTCTGCGATTGACTTTCTATGCATACTTCCCTTTGTTCTCATTTTGCGCCAGTGATGGATATCGATATTTTCATAAAATCTTTGAAGCAACGGATCGTGTCTTTTGAGCACTTGTCTTTCAAAATATCATGATAAAGTTGAGAAGACAAATGCGTGGGAGGAAGCTTGTTGTGTTTTGTACTCAGACTTCAAAGAAAAATAAATAATCCTCAATTATTTTATGGTTTCAATTTAGTACTTTGTTTGGTTTCTATTATTATAAAGTAGCGTTATTGATAAAAATAAAATTAGCAATGTTCTAAATTGCATACAACTTATGGTAATTTTATTACAAGTCCAATAATACAAATAAACAAAATATAAATTGATAACCACTTAAAAGGTTTCTAAAATAATTTGATATTGGCCTATATCCTCTTAATAATGATTTACTCAACCGAACTATATTAGTTTAATTGATGGTTTGTTAGGCGAATTTCATTATTCTAATGCAAATTTAGTTTCGAAAAACTTCAATAATCGTCTAAAACATTGTTATTGATCACACCTGCGATCTAGTCCGTGGACTTGTCGCTCGTGTGAACCAATGTATCGCTGGATCGCGGGGAATGCTAGTCAATGCAAGTCAGCTAGATAAGTCGCTCGTGTGAACCTTGCCTTAGGCTACCTCATTATAAAAGGTGAAAGATTTGGATTGGTCACACAAATCATTGAGATCCTAAGTAATAGACAAAATACAGTCACAATTTAGGTTCCTTATGCCCGTATTGAAGCCTATGTTAATCCGGGGGTAGGGGGGCCATGTCCCGATTTTTCCCTAACCTTTGGTGGCAACCCTTGCTTACGACATGGCAGCACTAATATTATTTATTGTCTTCTGGAAGATCCTTGAAACAAGTTTATAAATTGCTAGTCAAAAGTCCTCTAATCAGCTTATTCCTATTTTTTTCAGTGGCGTCAGCTGAAGAATCACCTGTGTCAATGAAGCTCAAGAAAACATATTTAAAAGCTCCTTCTCCAGATGAGACCGATCCAGCCAGTATAGGTGAGTTTTAACTCATTTTGCTAGTTCTTAAAAATATTCATTTTATAAAAAAAGTGTAGTGATGTGACCAGAGACTTAACATGTTAAATATAATTGAGTTGTCACCTAACTATCAGCTGACAGATGGTTTAGTTTGTTTTCTTTTGGTTATTAGGGAGAGAAAAACAAAACAAAGATCAGGTATTTTACGATTTCCAACAAAAACTGGTATAATCAATTGATTGTTACTTGAAGAACAATTGATTGTTACTTGAAAAGTATGTTGAATTAAAGTAATCATATATTTCGGAAAATCTTTAGACTTTTATGTCAGGTATTTCTCGTGGTATAAATTAGGGGTAGCGGATTTTTATCCCCCTGGAATTTTACCCCCTTGGCAAACGTGACGTCACAAACCAGGGGGTAAAATTCCGGCCGCGAACTTTTGAGTTTCGCGACATCAGCTCGATGGATTAAACGCGGAATTAAACATATATTTCCACAGTTGTGAGTTTAATCAGAACACATCAAATTATAAAAAACCTAGAGTGTACAGCCCGAATTTTTACCCCCGGAATTTTACCCCCGGATTTTTACCCCCGGTTTTTTACCCTCAGATTTTTACCCCCGGAATTTTACCCCCCGGATTTTTACCCCCGGAATTTTACCCCCTGGCCAGATGTATAAATTAGTGAAAATGATTAATTATCTTCATTCTGTTTAAATTTAATGGTAAACATTTTATTATTAAGTAGCCTATCTTAATTTATTTGTAACCAACTAATCGAACAGGTTTTTGATTTTAATTTTGAGATTCGAGTATCAGGATTCGATCTTTGAAGCCAACTGATGATTAATATGGTGTATAAACAAACATCAGAATGGTAATTGATTCGAAGATTTCTTTAACAATTTATTATACAACCGTGTTAAAACAATTTTTTTTGTTTGTATTGTAACAATAACAAAATATGCCTTATTGTTTCTTTACCCAATTATCATTTAAATGAGCTACTCAGTTTATTTTTACATACTTATTAACCAACAGTTGGCCCCAAACCCAAATCCCGAACATCAAAATTAAACAGCGAATTCTCTTTACTTAGTTGAGATTACAAAATAAATAAATAAAGATAGGCTACTAAATAATGAAATGTTTACTATTAATTTAAAACAGAAATAAGAAAATCAATAATTTAATTTCTAAAATCGGCCAGGGGGTAAAATTCCGGGGGGTAAAATTCCGGGGGTAAAAATCCGGGGGTAAAAATCCGGCCCGTACATCTTCAGTTGTCTAAACGCTAGTTATATGGACAGGGGGTAAAATTCTGTTTTTTATCGCTAATTTAATTAATCACGCTCTGGCTATTTTCATTAGACTTCCAATTCATCGGGGGTAAAATTCCGGCCGCGAACAAACTTTTGGCCACTCAGCTATTACGTCATAGTGACGTCAGCTTTGCCCAGGGGTAAAATTCCAGGGGGATAAAATTCCGGCGACCCATAAATTCTGATTCTAATACGAGGTTCTTTCTACTAAAATTGGTGACCCCGACGTGACTTAAATTCAAAAGATTATTCAACTGTTCAATCACTATTGTTATTCAATCAAGTAAATCAAGAACATACCGTATGGAAATCAATGAAGAAGTATTGGCAAGACTAAAATTGTTGGAAGAGCAAAACCAAGATCTCAGAAATTAACTTAATGATGTCATTGGAGTTAACTCTGAACATTCAAGCCAAAATCATGATACAGAAGATGATTTTTTGATTAATCCAATGAATCAGGAAACTCAAGAAAGAAACAATTCAGTGAACCCAAGATCGTCTGACAACACAACCTCATTGCAATCTCCACAATTGAAATTTCCCCATTTTTGGCGAGGGAAACCAGCACTTTGGTTCATACAGATTGAGGTGTTTTTTTTTCTTTATGGCACATTTTTGATGAGAGCTTTAATTTCACACACGTTGTGACACACATTTAGATGAGATGACTGCTTCCAAAATGGACGATTTACTCTAAAACCAAAGTCAGGAAAAACCTTACACGATCCTGAAGAAAGAACTAATAAGACGATTATTGTCGGAACATAAGAGGATTAAACAACTTTTCGTAGAAGAAGAACTCAGAACCGATACGCCATCACACTTTCTCAGAAGACTGAAATCGTTAGCTGGCAGCATCATTCAAAATGACTTGCTGAGGATCATCTGGATGCAGCGACTTCTTGCGCATATACAAGGAATCCTGCCAACCATTAGGAGGCGCTGGGGTCAGCACCGAATCATAGGCCATTACAGCGGACAAGATTCAGGAGGTTCAACCTTTGACGTCACCTGTAATAAGCTGCAACGCTATTTTGTCAAACCGAGGTAAGCCAGTGATTAGTGAATACCTTTCCTCAGATCCCACATAGTCACAAAAATCTTTAAAAATTTTTAAGTTCAGATCACAAAGTCTTAGCCAGTCCAGTAACCAGCGTAGTACTGTTGGTATCATAACCGTTATGGATCACGAGCCACCAAATGCGTGACTCCTCTGCACTTACCCTTCTACAAAAAACTAACTAGGCAACTAGATGCGGTGTCGACTAGTTGTCATGTGCCTAGACGCCTAACTCATGAATCACCCGGAGTTGACAGCAACCACAACAACAGGTTACAAGTAATTGATAACAATTCAGGCTATAAGTTTCTTATAGACACAGGTTCAGACGTAAGTTGTATACCACTAAATTTAGTCAAAAGACTCTTAATACCATCCGGAATAGAGCTCAGAGCTACAAATAACTCTGAAATTCCCACTTATGTTAGTTTATGCCTGAACTTAAATATTGGTCTACAAAGAACTTTAGTCTGGAATTTCATAATAGCTGAAGTAAGCACTCCAATCATTGGCTCTGACTTCCTAGCTCACTATTCTTTATTACCTGATTGTAGTAACGGTTTCTTAATTGACAACATTACACAATTAAGAAGTAAATGTCAGTTCATGACTACTCAGCAATTTAGTATCAAATTAATTACTTCCGACCCATCAAACCTTCCACTGTTATTGGAATTTCCAGAAATTACAAAACCTTTAGGAATACCAAGATATATTCCTCATAACACAGTACATTACACAAATAAGACTCCTTGCCCACCAGTCTCATCAAGACCCAGAAGGTTAGCTCCGGATAAATATAAAATTGCCAAATTAGAGTTTCAATGCATGGTAGTAAATGGAACTGTGTGTCGTTCCAAAAGCCCATAGTCATCACCACTTCATATGGTACCTAAAAAGAATGATGAGTGGCGACCATGTGGCGATTACAGAGCATTGAATGCCCGCACTATTCCAGATTCGTACCCTGTTCGACATATCCATGACTTCTCAAATTGTTTACTCGGTAGTCAAGTTTTACTGTGATAGATCTTGTAAAGGCATATACGCAAATCCCAGTTAACAAAGAAGACTGTAATAACGACCCCATTCGGTCTCCCCATTCGAGTTCCCATTCATGTCTTTCGGGTTGAGGAATGCTGGTGAAACTTTTCAAAGGTTTATTGATGAAGTCGTAGAAGGACTCAGTTTCTGTTTCCCCTACATTGACGTTATCCTTGTTTTTTCAAAGGATCCTGCCGGTTAGTCAAATATGACGTCCTTATAAATGTGAAGAAATCTTTATTTAACACTGACTCAGCATACTTATTAGCAAATTTTCTTATAGGGAAGTAGCTCAATTACTGTAGGTGGCACGGTTAGAACTACACCAAGAAAATAGAAATGAGGTAAATTCCCTTGGGGCTCCCTTCGCCCCAGCAGCCTTTAAATTTCCCTACCCATGTTATTCTTATAGAGGGAAAAAACATGTGTTTTGTTTCCACTAATTTGAAGGCGGTGACACACTATTCCCCGATCAAGACCCCGAACCGAGCAGGGAGAAGGAAGGTAAATATCGGCAAAATTTCAATCCGAACATTTCCCCGAACAAGACGAAGACCAGACGAGTTCTACTGAGCGCTGCAAAAGGGATTTTAGAGAGAGATGGATGGCGTTTGTAAGTGGGAGTGCGGAGGCAGTAATAATAAAACAGTAATAAAACATGAAATAACATGTTACAGAATGATTATTTAAATTGCCTTTAGTAATTAATGTTTATTATTTTTAATTTTGAAGAATTTAACTGTAGCATAAATTACTTATTTTAAGTTTAACAGTATTGCTGTCATTGGTTTAATGGTTTCAACTTGTAAAATACATGTTCAACCTTGACCAAACAAACCACAAAATAACAACATAAATGTCCATAATATATAACGGCAAAGTATTACCCAACATTTATTTATTTTACCAATTAAAGATTTGAATTGCCATATTAAATTAGAACTATCAACGCTAGCACAGTCGGCCGCTCGGTGCGGCGCTTGCGACGGCGTATGGGGCAAAAATATACCGTGACAACACAATCGCACATCACTCCGTACATCGGACCAAACTTTTCTTTGATCTTTCGCCTCCAGAGCGCTCGTCTCCTTGCTCGGCCTGATGTCTGGTGGTTTGTTGTCTGGATCGGTGTACGAACCCCTGACACACTATCAAACATGCTCCCTTTGACCTCCCTTCTACCTTCTCCCTGCTCGATTCGGGGGTCTTGATCGGGGAGAAGATTGATAATGTGTCACTCTCTTTACAGAATCTTTCGACAAAAGAGACAACAACAACTGAAAGGCGTTACTGCATAAACCTAATATGTTTTTAATAGTTTGAAAAAATTGTGTATTTATGATATATTTTCACATTTTTTATGTTAAAAATCTGTGCTTCAATTTTCAATGCAGTTAAATAATATGATATTATGTATTTGGGTTAATCAACAGTATTGAAGGAGTTGGTCTACTTTTTGGTCTACTTTCAATGATCATTAATTACATTCAAGAATTCAAGAGGTTCATGAGATTATTAGTATAATTTTTTTCAATAATCGGAAAGAATATTGTGTCATACAAAAAATATCATGTAAGTGTAGAGTACGTTGAGGATATCAGCCATGATCAAGTTTTGGCAAAGTGAGTGAATTAATTGCAACTGGATTGGTTTTTGTTGTTGGTTTATTAGATGTTTATTATCATCGAGAAAGGTGACACTGAAAGATGAAGCTGAAAGATTGTATTTTAAGATATTTTCACAGGGCTGTTACTTTTAACTTACTTTAACTGTTTCTTTTAGTGCTGTTACATTTAGCTAAAGTGAAACCATAATATATATACTAATTTGAACTGATAATCTAAGAGACCATTTGTATAACATTTAAGCAAATAATATTTTTAGCAAAAAACCCTTGTGCTGGGTTTACTAGCGATACTTGACAGAAACCACACAAAAAATATATTAAAATTGCATCGAACAGCAAACTTAAAATACCAAAAAGGTTACTCAGCTACTACATATAATACTGTTAAAACTCGATACTATGAAACGGTCCACATTAATGAATGCATTTGGATCGTGACATTCATAAACAGGCTTGAATTTCTTTTGAACCAAAAGATTCTTCTTTAGAAGTTCATTGATGTTCCTATCGCGATAAACAACATCTGATTGTGAAACTCTTCCCTAAAATGCGTTCTTGATAGTCTTCTTTACAGTGGCATAATTCGACAATGGCCCACTTGCTCTCGAATGAGATTTTTGTAAAGCACTGCAATTCGACTGAGGAAGGTTGAACTCCTTCAAATTAGATCTCTTTAAACTTTATATAATATTTTGATGAACTACAACACATCTAAACCTCACTTCATAACATTCGGAAATACAACAGTGCCATTGCATCTCCTCTCATTTGCTTTATTTGTTACTAATTAAGCTGTATCATTGACTATTGGATACAAAAGAAGACATCCCATCTATATGGATCAGCTGTCGCCAATTTTTTACTAAAAAAGAATGTAGTTGTTTGAGCCAGTCATGGATTGTGCTAGTGTCACAACTCTATTTTGTACCTTATTTTTTGTTACTGACATAGTTGCTGGGTCACAACTTTTGCTATAGCTCATAATAAGTCATTCCATCAGTTTGACTTGGTAAAAACCATAGTGTAATTGGCAGAAATCAGTAATTTAGGTCAGCGCAATCTGTAGGTGGCTCAAATAAACCAAGACAAATTTTATTAAAAACCTGGTGACAACTTTAACATGGGGATGGAATGTCTAGGCTGTATCCACTATGAACGTGGTGGTCCCCTACTGTTTAAGATCTATGGTCAGATTCGCTAAAGTTATGGTCTACTCCATTGTATTTTGTGCAAAGAACAAGGGCCGTCACTGGGGGGGGGGGGGGGGGGTCAAGGGGGTCATGACTCCCCCAAAATATTTGATTGGTATAGATAAACTATTATACCAGGTGTTGGGTATCTGCGTTGCATTGGAATAAAGGTTGAAATAAACTTATAATAAAAAATGACTAAAGAGCTATGTGGGCTGTAAAATTGTGTATACTTTGAAGAAACAATGAGTATAACAGATGTTAATTAAATCAGCACAAAACAAATGTTATAGAGGAAACAAGCAATATGAGAGCAATATACCAGGGGAACTTAAATAATGAATTGTTATTGCAAATTGTTCAACTGAGTGCATTGTAGTCTATAATCTCGTGGCAAACAATAGGACTCATTACCAACTCTAACCTAAAACTTGGGATCGTTCGAGTCAGACAATTTTTTTGTGCGCTGTTAAAAGTAGGGAAGATCGGCAGACGACAGACGCTCTCAGCCCTATACGGTAGTGTCCGATGCTGGCGTCCGACGTTCTGCCGAATTCTTTTTTTTATTTAATTCTTCCGCTTTTAATCTTATTATTGATTTTAACCTATATGATTGAAAGCTTGAATTGGCTATTGGATAAAGAATAGAAGGCCTATCAAAGAAGTTTTATCAATACTGTAGTCAAAACGAAAGGTAGTTTAATATTAGGTTATTTGAGTTAAACCTTGGGAATTCGTAATAACAGAATTTGTAATTCAATGATTACCATAGTAAATTTTAAAACTTTCAATATTTCAATATTAGGCCTATTATATTTTCGTAATAATTAAAGGACCTGATATCATATTTAGGAATAGCCCAAACCAATTGGATGTGTTTCTAGCCACAAAACAACAACATAGTGGTTAATATCTCAGACTTGGGTGCGGGAGGGTCGGGATTTAATTCCCGGCACAATCACAAAAACTTTATTCTCACATTGCACCTCTTATAAAATGCATCTGGGCGTAGAAAAAGGGAGAACACCGAGAAACAATTTTACAGGTGGTAGAAGTTAATCTGTTAACTTTAAAACACATATGTTAACTTGCAATGGCTTTTAGCCAACTCCTGTTGGCCCCCTTCCCATAGAAATTTAATCATAGAACACAATTCATACTTCCCAAGGAGTCGGTTATGCCGAGGTTGGATATGAGGGGTTCTACTCCAGTTTAAAGTTGAACAAACTAGGTATGCAGTAGGAAAATGACTAATTAGATTTTCAAGTAAAAACTTCCTCCCATCTCATCAATTGTATTGAAGCTCAGTTTGGGCTCCCTTCAGTGATGTGGTGATACTTCTAAACTGGGTATGGATACCAGTTAAGTATTTGTTGTTTGCAGGTGCCTTAGATGTGGAGATGGAAGGGAAGGACTCCCTGAGTGGCAAGCAGCGCCATCAACTAAAGCACCGAGAACTATTCCTCTCCCGTCAGGTGGAGACCCTCCCTGCAACCCACATACGTGGAAAATGTTCGGTCACTCTACTTAACGAAACAGAGTCGTTTCTCTCCTATCTTAACAAAGATGTGAGTTTAAATTATTAGGCTATTTAATAGTTTTATTTGTTACTTTACCATATTTAAAGTCAGGATTGTTACTATTTTTGGTCATGGACTTCATGCAATTGGTAATTTTCTAATTTCAAGGAAAGTTTCATTGGAATTAAATTATATTTAGTTAAACAAGCATTGGTAACTCAGAATTATTTACTCAAAATAAAAGTAATCAGAAACCCAATAACTCCGAACTGAAAGACTTCGGTTTAATTTGCCTGTGAATACTGATTTCTCATAAATGGTGATAACTTTAAATATATGTATAGGAGTTCTGATTTGAATTATATTACATACTTTGTTTGAACAATGGGTAGATCTCTTACATTTAAAACCTAGGACTAATTTTGAAAAAAGTAATTTTCGCACGTACGTATTGATGACTAATGTATTTTTTTGTACATTTTGAACATTCATCGTAAAAAATAAAAATTCAATCCGTCATAATCCTATACACTAGAGCTATGTCTGTTTGTGGGTTTGTTTGCAATATTTATCTCGAAATCCAGAAGGATTTTGAAACAATTTTGGGATTAGTGACTTATTTTAAAAACGTGATTGGCGACTTCCACTACCTCAGGAGAATTTGCATTTTCCTACATGTTTACATGATTTCTTCTAAAAAGAATAACATTGGAATATGTCACAAAAGGTTTGAGCTATTGATGCTTATGCCCCCAGTACACTCTCTGAGGCAAGGCGAGCGTTGGCGAGTGCGACAGTGTACTCGGTGCGCTCGGCTTCTCTCGCCTTGACATGGGTCGCCTCGCCTCGCCTCGTGCTTGCGGGTGCTCTGCCTGGAGTTGGCTTTTTTGACACGAGTCAAAGGATCTGAGACTGCACGAGAGCCGAGCACACTAAGCGCTTCCATTTCGACTGCAAGACAAAGCGAGAGTGTACATGGTTACCTAGCATAAGCTCTCGCCCGAATCACTCGGCGAGAAAGTACTGGGGGCATTATGATGACACTTTTAATTTTGATGTTGTAGCGAATTTCCCATATAGGGAATAAGCTATTACTGTAGGTCTCATGGTAAGACCTAGACCAGGGACCAATTTACTTTTTCGTTTTGAGGTCCCCAGAGGCAATAAAACACCATTCGTTCAAATTCATATATATATATTAGTGATGGGCGGATCCAAGAAAATGTCGGTACCGGATCCGGATCCGGATCTTGAAAAATTCGGATCTTCGGATCCGGATCCAGATACATACTGTGATAAGGGCGGGTTAAAAAACTTAATTGACAGAATGCCAATTTAAATCATACTGTTTAAAATTAAATTGGTAATGTTTAAAGGTTAATATCTTACTAATATTATAAATGTGAAAGTTTGTGTGTTTGTTTGTTTGTTTGAAGTTCAATCACGCATAAACCACTGGACGGATTGGGCTGAAATTTGGCATGATGATAGCTTACATTCCCGATTAACATATAGGCATATTCTTATCTCAAAAATCCTTTCGGGCTCCGCCCCAGTGGCTCTGTAATTCCCCATGTTAACCTTATGAGTATTCATATTTAAAGGGAATTAAAGAATTTAGTCAGCTGTTTCAACTAAAAAAGTTGGTTCTATGATATGGAAAAGCATTAAAAAGTTATAAGATTTACCAACAGGGTGCAGCACTATATTTTTTTGCATTTATGAAAACAGCTAATTTGAACTAAGCAGCAACAAAAAACTGTGACCCGCAATGAGAACTGTCAAAGTAGGATTGTTTACAGTTATGTTTATGTTTTTCATTTCATGAATAATTTGTGATATTTTGCGAATCATTGATAATTTATTTTTCTCTATTGTTTAGGTGAAGTGGTAGAACATTATGGCTATGGTAGATGTGTAATACTATAGAATACTGTAAATTTAAAAAAGCAAATTTTATCAAACTGTGTCCTCCCTTATTGCAAACGCAAAGCTTGAGTATAACTGCAATAAGCATTTTATACTTATATTCCAACGAAGGACGGGTACTCTGCTAGTATCTAATATATAGAATAATCTCCAGTTGAGCCCATAATCCCTCATTTTTTGGGAACACTAAAACTTTTCAAAATCTTAAAATGAAACTATGTGTTAAGTTTGCACGACCACCAAAAGGGTGTCTGTGTATGTTTTACTATAGTTCGATCTTGAGTATGCTGTAGCGTGGTTTGTGCATGCAGCATCCAATTTATTTATGCCTGGATCACCTCTTGTTAATCTCTTCCTTAAATTCGTTCCAGGTCCACAGTACTGATAGCCGGGTAAGTGAAGTTCTACAGGTAAAATACCCTGTGTCTGTTTACAAGAAGACTAACTGTATTCTAACACATTAGATGGGAGAGTCTTGACGTTCTATTCACTCTGTATGTACACAGAAAATCTTGTACACAGAGACACAGGGTATTTTACCTGTAGAATTTCACATACACGGCTATCAGGACTGTGGACCTGGAACAAATTTCAGGAAGAGATAAGCAAGGGGTGATCCAGGCATTAATAAATTGGATGCATACTCAAGATCGAAGGTAGGGATGTGTCGAATCCGGATCTCAAATCCACCGAATCTTAAGAAAAGATTGGGATTTGAGAATATTTTTTTTTAGAATAGAATGAAACATATGCATAGAACATAACATAGAAACATAACATAGAATGGAGCATATGCTGTGACATTGACTACCATAGAGGTTATTGACGTCGTAATATATAGTACTGTGACATTGACTAACCATAGAGGTTATTGACATCGGCAATATACAGTACTGTAACATTGCCTAACCATAGAGGTTATTGACGCTCGTAATATACAGTACTGTGACATTGACTACCATAGAGGTTATTGACGTCGTAATATATAGTACTGTGACATTGACTAACCATAGAGGTTATTGACATCGGCAATATACAGTACTGTAACATTGCCTAACCATAGAGGTTATTGACGCTCGTAATATACAGTACTGTGACATTGACTAACCATAGAGGTTATTGACGCTCGTAATATACAGTACTGTGACATTGACTAACCATAGAGGTTATGACGTCGTAATATACAGTACTGTGACATTGCCAAACCATACAGGTTATTGACGTCGTAATATACAGTACTGTGAAAGAAATTGCCTAACCATACAGGTTATTGACGTCCTAATATACAGTACTGTGACATTGCCCAACCATACAGGTTATTGACGTCGTAATATACAGTACTGTGACATTGCCCAACCATTCAGGCTATTGACGTCGTAATATACAGTACTGTGACATTTTCAAACCATACAGGTTATTGACGTCGTAATATACAGCACTGTGACATTGAGTAAAAAATCGGGAAACAATCTTTCTTGTACATGGATACGGACAGACAGCTTTGTGTTATTAAAAAAAATCGGATCCATCAAAACCGGATCCAGCCCAAGATCCAGAATTTTTTGGATCCGATCGGGTGCCGGTTCTAGCTCGGATCCGGTAGTCCGATATCCGGATCCGACTATCACTAATATATACATATATATATATTTATATATACATAACTAGCTGTACCCGCGGGCTTTCGACAATCCACGTACAAGTTATTAATGATATACAGTAAACCCTCTCTTATCCGGATCTCCCATATCCGGACCCTCCGATATCCGGACGCGATTTTGAAAAAATTAAAAAACACTCTAGGGCGAATGTTTGTTGACCAAGCAGTCGCTGTTTGTTGGCCGGTTAGAGACACTGGCGCACCGGGAGGGTTGTGCGACGTGCAGGTTCGCAGGCAAGGTCACTGACTCGCGAAACAAAAATAGAATCCCTCCCCCACCCCTCCTACCCGCCCCTCCTACCCAAGCCAACACTTCACTCATGCGCGGCGACGACAATTCATCACTTGTGTCAGTTGTCAGTGCTGCCTTTTTTGTGCCTCAGTGACCTAGTCTTTGTTTGTACGGTTCGTTTTAGTTTCGGGAAGGAAGAGTGCTAGAGGCGAATAAGTTGTTATGGCCGAAAAAAGATTGTCATTACGATGGAGGACAAACTTAACGCGTTGAAACGTTTGCAAGCGGGCGAAAGTGCAAAAAAGATAGCGAGTGAGATTGGAGTGGGGACTAGTACAGTGAGTGACTGGAAAAAATCCCTAGAAAAAATAGAAAAATTGTGTTCTGACCAGGCATCAAGTTCAGGAATAAAAAAGTGCAAAATGATGAAAACAGCCGTGAATGACAAAGTGAACGAAGCGTTATTTTTGTGGTTTACACAATGTAGATCAAAAGGACTGCCCGTGTCTGGACCCATTTTGTAGGAAAAGGCTCTCCAATTTAATAAGGAAATCGGAAGTGATCCCAATTTCAAAGCCAGTGAGGGGTGGTTGGAAAAGTGGAAGAATCGATATGGGGTCAGAAAGCTTCATATAAGTTCATAAAAGTTGTCAGCAAATGAAAACGCTGTGGGAGAGTTTAAAATGTTTTTACACAAGCTGCTTGACGAGGAAGGAATCAGCGGGGACCAGTTATACAACTGTGACGAAAGTGGTCTGAACTTTAAAATGCTACCTAGCTGCACTCTCGCTTCCAAGGAAGAAAATAGCGCTCCAGGTTATAAGAAGAAAAAGGAGAGGGTTACAATAATGGCCTGCAGCAACGTCACAGGAAACAATAAGCTCAAACTTTGCATGATTGGAAAATCAAATAAACCAAGAGCGTTTAAAAACTTCAAAGATCAGTCGACATTACCGGTGTGGTACAGAGGACAAAAAAGCGCTTGGATGAATTCTGCGATCTTCAGAGAGTGGTTTAACAATCAGTTCGTTCCGTCTGTTGAAAAGTTTGCTGAAAAAAACAATTTGCCAAAGAAGGCTATTTTATTGCTTGGCAACGCCCCTTCACACCCGTCTGCAGATGAACTAACAAGTGGAGAAATAAAGTGCGTGTTTTTGCCGCCGAACATTACCTCTTTGTGCCAGCCAATGGATCAGGGGGTCCTTGAAACACTTAAACTAATTAACT